AGGGGCATAGGCATTCTGGTTTGTAAGTCTAGCTGAAGTTTTCTGTGAAATTTCTGTGCTACATTTGTACATTGTACTGTGTGATGTCCTGAAACATGCAGTCCCTAATGTTTACTTTTTTTCAAATTCAGCCTTTTTTTGTTGATTCAAAGTATTTTGAATGAATGCAGCACAAACATTTGCCTGTTTTGCAAGGTATGATCACTGATTTTGCAACGATGTAAAACTGAACTTAAGGTACAAACATGTAGTTGAACATTAATACCAATGGATCTGAACTGAATACCACCGTGTGTGTTTATAACTAGGCTATGCTACCGAGATCTGTCTCTTAAATAGGAAATAATTTCCAAAGATGATAGTGTTGGCCTGAGACTGAGAAAGTGAGAGTTTAATTACCAGCTCCATTACTGGCTTGGCCTCAGGTAAGACAACATGCATCTCCATGTGCCTTGGTTAGCTGACAGGATGATGGAAAAGGTGAGCTTACCTCCCATGGCACAGCAGCTTCAGGGCTGCAGTTGGAAAGCTAAGTAGTTTGTTGAGATCAGAATGTAGGAATATTTTAAGAAATTTCAAATAAACTGCCTCATCTTGAACTGAAGTCTTTACTAAGATTCCATCTTTAACAAATATTAGAAATATTGCCTGGGATTAATCAGCAAGTCAATAGTAAATTAGAGACCTGTTTGTTAGACAAATACGAATGCATGAAAATAATCTGTATTTTAAGAATAGATACCTTTTTTAAAGGCAATGTTGTGGGTTTTTTTGCTTGTATTACAAACAGTATTTAGTACTTGCAAAATTTGTTTGACTTTTTCACCATTGCTTTCCATATAGTTCTGCTGATTTGTCAGGCTACTAAAAAAGAGGACTCCTAAAATCAACAGCCTTTGCACTTATTTTTTTCTGTCGTTCAAGCCTGCAAGTGAAAGAGTTGTGCATGCTTCATACTTCATTCTCTTAGCATTAACACAATAGCCCAGAGTCCTTCCGCAGCTACACTCAGACAGAAAGTGTTGCAGAGTCATAATGGGGAGCTGAATTTGGCCTGTGCTGTGCATTTATTCTTGCGTATCAAGAAATTATTAGCATTGTTGTGAAATATTGATCTTCCCTTTCCAAACAGTCCCTTGTCATCCTTGAAATATTTCCCTACTAAAAGGTGTAATTGGTATTAGATTGTTGTTTGTATCTCCAGCTTTTGCACATCCATGACTCATCCTGGCTTTGAATGAATTCAGTCACAATAGACTTTGGAAAGGAGGCTGAAAGCAGTATTTTCTTTCTCTGCTTAAGAAGGACTGAAGGAGAAGGGCTCTCTCATGCCAGACCTTTCACTGCTCAGAAACAGTCCCAAAAAAATGTTTCCTACTTGCCCTCCAAGGGTTCTGATGCACTAAAGCTCTGCAATAGCTGTGCTGTCTGAAAACGAATCCGGTTTTTCCTTCTCAGGTGGTATAGGGACAGGTGTTGAGATTTGGAAGGATAAAGCAGTCAATGTCCACAGGTATAGGAGGAAATAGAGAATAGGTGTTGGTAATCTGCATTAAATGGTATTAAACTTATTCCTGGGAGATGAGAAGGGGATATTAATGGAACATGGTTTTTTATTGTACTCTGGTTCTCACTTGATATGTATAAAACATTATTCCACAGCTTATGCATACATACACATGGGAAACGTATAGGAAGCATCACTTATGAAACGTGACTGATGCTTGTTCTGCATACACAAATGAGAGGTATCCATTACATACAAGTCTTTCAGGTGTTAGTAAAGTTTTGTTGTTAAATGTTAAAAAAGTAATAATTACTCACTAGTAGAACATACCTAGGGAATAGTGTTTGGGAGTCTTCCCCCCATATTATTGATTACTGGATGTTTAGCTAATAATTTACATACACATTTTGAAAGAAGAAATAGTATACAAGACAAGTAAAAGAGTCAGTACTAGGAACACTATATTGTTTTGCCTGACAATAACATTTTTAAAGAAAAACAGGCACAAACTAGGACCATTTGCACCCTGAAATCAATTTCAGTTCCTCTGTGCTTAACATCAAACTGACCTTCCTGCTTTCTTCATTTATCCATTATTGCAGCGTGTTTGCAAATGCAAACAGTGAAACCGAGCTCACAGCATATCTTTTTCAGCTGTCATGGCTATATGCTGACCTGTGAAAATCCCTGCAATTATTTTGAAAGAAAAAGAATACTCTAAGCAAAAGTCATACAGCCACTTACTGTTAAGTTTGCCCATTTCCTGTATATTCCTTTGTTTTCCATTTGTTTTAACTTGGGCAGCATTACCCGTGAGCCTGAAATTCTTTGCATCATTGATTTACTTGAGAATGAGTATCTTGAAAATTGGATGAGTTGTTTTTCAGCACCAGAGTAAGAAAAAACATGTCAGTACTCAGGACAAAAGGAATAATGTCAAATGAAGCATGGCAGGAATAGAGAGAAACAGGAAAAAGGACTGAGCAGCAAAGAAAGCTGCTGCGGTCAGGAAGTGAGCATTGGGGAGAGAACTGCCAAGGCTAAAACTGCACTATACCTTGCCAAGGAAACTAAAACAAATAGCAAAGATTCCTTACCATTATAAATAAAAATGGGAAAATGGAAGGGGAGAAACCACTGTGAGCAGTGTGCACTTTCTTGTTCTGTCTTTTTCTTCCCTTTTTTCCTTCTTTTTTGATATTTATCTGCATTAACTGGTTCTTTGCCAGTGAAATGTTGTCATTGCAACTGGAAAGCCTACTGTGTGCGTCACTCACCACCTTCTGGGCAGCCTTTGCTTTCTTTAATATCTATTTCACACAGAATGAGCCACCCCCGAAGGGCAGTTTATCCAGCCCACGCCCTTCCCCACTGTGGATGCAGTCAGGGCTTGCCAACAACAGGAGACACAGCAAAAACCCTTGTAGCCACCGCACCAGTGAGAAGCCTCGTATTTGTCCTCCTGAGCAGCTGGTGGCGTCTCCCAGTGTCTGGATCTACCTCTCAGCATGACAATGGCTGGGACGTGCCACAGGTCACCACTGGCTTTTTCCATCTTCATGAGTTCTGCTTTGTATGAGCAAGAAAGCTTCAATTCTCGTGGGCAAGGTAGCATTTTCTGCCGCAAATATAGTGCAATTGGAGGTATGATTAGTAGCAAAAAAGGGAAAATTACAGTAGCCCAGTCCCTAGTGTTAATTTAGGGGTGTGACTAAAGTCCAAAGAAGAGTAGCAAGCGTTCCTAAACAAAGTAATGTGCTCCTCAAGTCTCAAGGATTTTGTCTTGATGATGGTTGGAATTCAAACGGTTCAGCCTTCCTGGGTAGATTAATGAAATATTTTTATTCTTGCAGTGATAGGCATCTCAGCAAGGCATAGATAAATTGCTAAGAAAAAAAATAGTTACATTTCATAGAATCATAGAACAGTTTTTGTTGGAAGAGACCTTCAAGATCATTGAGTGCAACCTTTGTCCTAGCTCTATCAACACACTTTAAATAAAGTCTTGATTCCAGCAACTATAAGTCACTTTGCCTCTCTGTAGGAACAGTATATGTTAGTTAAGGATCTGTTCAGGTGGACAAACAAGAATGAAAGGAAGAACAGTAACAAAAATATCACATTGCAGTGTCTGTTCATTGTGTAGTGCAGCTACAAAGGCACCAATATTCACATCCTGACTTGTCTCAGTGAATAATAAATAATAATCAAATTACATGGAGATGACAATGCAGAAATATCAGCTGATGGAATTATTCCTTAATCTTAGAACAATCTTCCACCTTTAAGTATTTTAAATTTGTACTCTTCCTTTTTTTATACAATTCCTTTTGAATTCACAATGGTAGTGTGAATGTTCATGTATATACATTATGTTTGTTTATATAGTACATTTCTTTCAGAAGGGATTTTGTATACAATAAAGTCATTCATTACACATTCATACTAATATAAACAGAACAGTGTAAAGCTGCAGTATAACAAACTATCAGTATAGATCACATTCACAGAAGCTCAGCCAGATCTTTCATGTAACAGTGAGATGCATGGAAGTGTAGGACTAGCCTAAGCCACAAGCATCCCAAGTAATACATGCCATCCCTTGCACATGGTTTTCTTGCTCCCCACCTCTGCAACTGATGTGGATGGGTTGCCCCATGGAAATTGCCTAGTTCTTTCTTTTTCCCCAGGAAATATGTAAGGAAACTTCACTATCTTTCCCAGATTATGCAAGTCTCACAAACATGCTATTCATCGTGAAACTGGCAAAGTGTGCAGCTGGTACGAGGAGCGCAGGAAATGGTATCTTACAGATACTCTACCTCAGTTCAACAGGCAAAGAACCCACTGTGAACCTAAACCTCATCAGCTGTCCTGGTGATCCATAGACATACCCATACAATGCTTCAGAACAGTAGGGTTTTTTCAGTTGTGGGTTTCGGTTGCTTGTTACTTGAAGAATTGCCCCTTGCTGTGACAAAAAATCTCTAAAGGCTAAATTTTATCTTGTTTTTTTCAGCAGTTTTTTGCAATAAAAAATTTTGTGTAACAAAAACTTCTGATTTTTAATATAAAAAACACAAGAGGAAAGTGGCCCTGTGTTTTAAATAGGCGGTTCGGAGACCAAGTTCTGTTTGTCTTGTTTGTTTAAATGTGCTCCTTGAGCTTCTGCTAAGTATATAACCTCCCTATCTCACTTTCCTCAATGCTAAGATGAGGACGATCCAAAACAATGGGAACATAAGAAGTTTTGATATAAATATTTCCAAACTGATCTGAGATTTTCATAAGGCTGATTAACTGAGTTTTGGATATTTTTTTTCAGCTGATGAGAAGGTATTCATTACCACAGTATTCCTGTTTTTCGTTATGAGAAAATGAGGAGAAAACGGGGTGGAATTGACTTTTTCCCCTAATTTTGACCACTTCAAAGCACATAATTTTGCTGCAAGTTCAGTACTCAGCAAGTTTCTTTCATGCCTTTGTTTTTTAGGTTGTGCTGTGGATGGTCATCCAACCCCAAACATCACCTGGCTTTACTTTGGTGAGCATCTCGGTCTGCGGCATCGCCTCCTGGCAGCAGGCCGGATTCTTCAGATACTCAATGTCAGTGATGCTCCTGATGGTGAATTCAGCTGCCTTGCTCAGAATGAAGCTGGCTCACTCACACAAAAAGCATCCCTGGCTATACAAGGTAACTTTCCAGTTTCAGTCCTGCTGCCCTGTGAGGCTTTTGCCATAGACTTCCCTGCACTGCCTTTCTCATCCTAGATTTTTCCTCTCTGAAGCCAGAACAGTCAAGCCCAGCAGGAAATAGTTGCTTTGATATTTTACTGCCATGGATATAGATTTGCAGGACTACCAGGTACCTTACAGTGGTTTAGATTTTACTTTACCAAAATGACACCTGATATTTCTGGCCTGCTGAGCATAGAACACACCTTACTGATTCAAGCTATACTTATGCTTGTTGAGTTTGGACAATTTTCTTGTCCAGAAATTCAAGATAGAAGTGTCAGAGTTTGAACCCCTAAAATTAGAAGCCCCTCTGTTAAGCTGCTAAAGTCGGTGTTTCACAACCTCTTCTTGCTTGAAAACCGTTCACTTGTTAAAATGCTGCAACAGTTAGATTTACCCTAGAAATAAGCCACAGAACAGAACAGTGTGGATGGGTTGGAACAGAATACACAGCTTTCATTTCTCCAATTGTCAGGGAAGGAGTGGAGAAGAATTTAACTTTTCCTTAAATCCTGACATAAAATTTTAAGTGTGTTGCAACTGCTCCATTCATCTTCAGAATGGATGATCTGTATGATCTACCTGGTGAGAAACACACTCTTGTAAGATCATAGAATCATAGATACTGCTGGTAACTGCAGTTAGCCACACCTTCACTAAATCACACCCCTTTAAACACAGAGATGCGATGTCCTGCATCACTGGCATCTGATCTCACTTAGCTGCTCTACCATGTCATTCACTTTCCATGCCTGATGCTTCTAAGCACCAAGAAACTGGGTTTGTTGCACCAAAGATAGTCAGTGACTTACATCAGCTGGAATCCTGTTTCTTCTTTGTTCATTGACTGGTGCCTTGTAGGAGTAAGTAGCTCCCCATTCCAGGAGACACTGAGTCCAAATATTTCAACATCTCTGATTCTTTCTTTTCTAAGGGTCTCCTACTGGCAGGCTTTGAGTGTTAACTTGTCTCTCCCTTTTTGGCAGAATACCGCTGGTCAGCAGACAAGCTGATGGCTTGTTCAGCTTCCTGTGGCCACAAAGGAGTGCAGATGCCCCAGCTGAGGTGCTTACTGGATGGGGCTGAAGTCAATATATCCCACTGCAAAGAGAAGCCCAAACCAGCCCTGCAGCCCATCGCATGCAACAGGAGAGACTGCCCTTCACGGTTCGTCTGTTCAATGTTAAAATGTCATACACACTTTCAAGAAGTGCTGGAAGGGTTATTCGCACTGGACATCATGCCACTGCAGCCTCTCTGGTGCCTATCTGGAGAAAAGTTTAGCTAAAAGATGTTTTGTAGAAAATACTACAAAAG